TGCGGCTCGGCACAGCGCGCCAAGATGCCCAAGGCATCGCGGACCGCGACGCCAAGGCCACGCAGCTCTGGGGGGGGGGGCATCCAGTTCAAGGAGGTGACCCTGCCCGAGATCTGGACCACCAAGGTCAACGGCAAGACCGCGCCAGGCAGTGCGCTCACGTGGCTCTCTGGGCAGCTACACCAAATTCGAGGCCTACTGAGCTGCCATCATGAACATCAGGCCGGCCCAGGTATTACTCATCAGCGGGGGTGCCCAGTTCAACGCCTCCGAGGAGCCATCACGCGTTGCCGTCAAGGGATGCAGCGCTCAGGCAAGTTTGGCGCTGCGTACCACACATGTGGCGATTACGACGACTGGTGTCAACTCGTGCAGGTCTGCCTGGATCGAGTCAGCGACGCGATCAGCGGGGCCGCGGGGAAGCCCGAGACCGTCGCTCAAGCAGTGCATCAGCTGCGCCCAAGCGAGCAGCACCTCGACGAGAACTACAATGACCAGTTCCGACTCGGCCTGGGTGGGGAGGGATTCAGCCCTTCGAAGTCACACCACCCAGGCCACATGAAGGATGGCAACTCCAACAGCAACGAGTACATGCATGCTGAATGTCAGGGAGCACCTAGAGGTCATGAGCGCCCTCCCCAAGGTGCAGCCCCTGCGCAGCCACTGGGCCTGCCGAGAACCAGAGGCCTGAACGACCATGAGGCGGACCCGTTTACGGAGATAGATGACGAGCTGAACTTGAGGCAGCACGCCGAGCATGAGCACAAGCTACTAGTGTATGCAACTGGGAATGCGGGAGAACCAGCTAGCCAGTGCGGGCAGGCTGGGGGCACTGCAGTCCCGAGTGCGCTCCATCAGGCGAATGGCAGTCGGAGCGGGGTTAGTGCAACGACACCGCCACCAAGACCTACAATGAGTACAACCTTCGCGGTCCTAGGCGAGATCGAGCTCGTCGCGAAGATGGCGGAGCGCATGGGCAAAGATGTGATCAGCGGAATGGTGCGTGGCCGACGGGTAAAGGGCTGGCGCGAAGCGCTGGCCGAGGACCACCTGCGCGGGGCGCCCATGCTCCCCAGGTGGACGAAGGAACCGGGGGAAGGGGCAACCGAGGTGGTCGACGGCACCGCGCAGCGCATCCAGGACCGCTCGGCCTGCCCAGTGGCCTTGCTCAACAAGTACCAGAAAGAGTGGGCACGAGTATGGAACGTTCGCCCCCCTGAACAGCCAGATCAAGTATGCCGCGCATTGCGCGAGGCTATCGCCTCGGCCATCAAGCAAGGAGGCCATGCACATCGGCAGCACCTCCCTGGGCCAGAGCAGGTCAGAAAGACGCGCAGGTCCTTCAAGGCCAAGACCTGCCAGCCAGGAGGCATGCATCCACGCCGCCTGGGTTGGCTCAGCGACGCCAGGCCGCTGACGACTTTGCTGAACATCTTCACTGAGGCAGGCATCTTCCCCACGGACGAACAGGAGACGCTGGCGGCGCAGTGCCTCAAGCCAGCAGGAGGACGCCGACCCATTTGCCAGTTCAAGAGTTTATATCGGATCTGGGGTCGATGTCACAAGCCAGGGCTGCAGAAGTGGCAGCAAGCGCTGGACGAGAAAGGGGATCTTCAACACTGGCACCTCGCGCAAGGTTACCGACTGGATATGGCGCGCGGCAGTGAGAGCAGAAGATGCTACAGGCGAGGAGATGGCCTTCCTCATACTGCTCTGGGACCTGGCCAAGGCCTTCGAGAAAGTGCCGCATAAGACCTTGTGCCGCCTGGGCTGCGCGGAGCGTTTCCCCCCTGCACGTGCTGCGCGTGGTCATCGGGGCTTTCCGTTGGAGGCGTACCCTCGTGCTAGACGGCCTAGCAGGAGACAGCCTGCACCCTGAGACTGGCATCGTCGCGGGGTGTTTCTCAGCTACCTATGCCCTCCAGGCGTACCTGGTGGACGAGCTGAGGGCCCAGGCCACCGAGCACCCCCAGGTCGGGATCGCAGCCCACGTGGACGACATCAGCCAGGAGGTCGTCGCCGACAATGTGAACGCCTGCGTGGACTACATGGTGGAGGCGGCGCGCGGGCTCAAGAGTGCCCTGCACGGCGAGCTCCAGATGCAGGTTGCCGACGCCAAGGGGACTATCCTGGGCAACAGCGACACGGTCACCACGGAGGGCATGCGCAGACTGGCGAGCTTGGGCCTGCCCAAGCCTGAGCAGCTCGCCGCCGCGGTGCAGCGCTCGAAGGCGCCGCCGCGTAGGGCGCGCCCCCACCGCCACCGGGCCACGGTGCGCCACCTTGGAGCTGACTTTCGAGCAGGGCGCCTCCGGCACTGCAATTTTGGGCGCAACATCCACCCTGGGCCCGTGCGAGGCAAGAGGTGGAAGGCAGCTAAGACAAGAATTAATATGGCATTCCGAGCGGTGAAGGCATTACGGCAGACCCGTCGCATTTTGCACACGGCCATCCTGCCCATGAAGAAGTGGGGAGGTGAGGTCAGCGGGTTCACTCTCCAGGAGCTCGACGGCATGAGGCGAATCACGAAGCAGGTCGACGGGCACAGCCACATGTCGCCAGATGTGTTCGGCGCCATGTTCCCCGAGATCGACCCCCTGGACAAGGCCGCTTCCATGCCCCTGGGCCGCTACCTCGAAGAATGGTGGAGGGCAACCGACGATAGGCACCGCCACGGCAAGGTGCTGCCTGTCACCACACTGCGCAGGGTCTACGAGCAAGCCCTCCAGGACAACCAGAACGGGGCACATGAAGCAGGGCCAGTTGGGGCAGCGCTGAAGGCGACAGTGGTCGCTGGCTGGTCAGTGGAGAGTGCGACAGTTTTCGCGCCCCCGCGCTTCGGACGCCTCTCTGCCCTGGAGCCCGCCCCCGAGAAGATGGAGTACTTCTACCTACGAGACGTGCTGGACAGGGTCCGCGATAGGGCCACGGACAGCGTGAGACGTCGAGAGAACCTGGACGAGGAGGCCCTGCCCGAGGTGTGGTGGGAGGTGATCGCGGCTACCCTGGGCAGCAAGCACTTTACCCAGATCGATAAGTGGGCCGTCGCCCCCGTCGTGGGAGGCACCTACCTCACGGGCGCCAAGATGGCCGAGTGGGGCTACGACGTCAGCGCGGGCACCTGCAGGCGCTGCGGGGTGCGTGACGACCTGGCGCGCCGCCTCGAACTGTGCGCGGCCTTTGCTGAGGGCCGCCTGAAAGTGACCCTTCCTCCTCCCCGCCGCGTGTCAGGCAACCAAGGGTGCGAAGATAGCATCGGCCCGTTCTGTCCCAGGGTGCCTACGGTGCCTGTCAGGCCCACGGTGGCCTTACCCGCGGCGCCAGCGAAGATGATCGTGCGAGCGTTCGCTGGAGGCGAACCCGCGCCGCTTGAAGAGTTTCCCTTGGGCCTAACATGCCTCTTGCGGGTGACGGGTCAGCCTCCGCCAGTGCCCTCGAGGAGCTCCGTCGGGTGGATGGGCGGTGGTTCAGCGGGGGAGGGGCGGGATCGTTCGCAAGCTCGCAGGGCTCCCTCACCTGCCAGCTCCCTCCCTCCTCCCACGCTGCCGAGCTTCAAGCGTTCTGCCGAGCGGCAGACTATGCGGACGGTAGCCAGCCTTACGTTGGCGACAATGCAGCGGCGTTGGCCGCACAAGCACGCGGGCGCGCGCGCGCGCCTCTAGCCCAGCCTGGCGGGATGTTGGGCACTGGCGCCGCATTCGGCGCGGCGACCTCGCATGCAGAGCGGGGGTCAAGGTGAAGTCGCACCAGGACGTGCCCACCGCCCCTCAGACTGCGGGCGAGTGGATGATCGCCCTCAACTCTTGGGCTGATGCAGCGGCCAAGGAGGCCCTCAACTTGTGGCCCAGGCGGGCCCGAGACGAGACCATCTTGGAAGATGCCTGCGCCGAGGCGCGGCGTGGCTTGGTGAATCTGGGGCGGGTGCTGGCGTGTGGGCCCGCTCCCAAGGTGGAGTGGGCCCATTTGCCCCCGCGCGCTCGGCCACCGACATCGGTATGGCCGCGTTTCCTGCAGCACGAGCTGCACGAGGTGGCCGATGGCCGCTGGCGTTGCGTTCAGTGCCTGCACGGCTTTCGGAGCTGGAAGGCTGGAATGGCCTCAGAGTGCGGGCGCGATGCGCCCAAGAGCTGGAGGAGCCTGCGTGAATTCGCGGACTCACATGTCTTGTGTGGGGTGGTGATTGGCCCGAAGGGCTGCCCACCCGAGCAGGGTGACTTTATGCTGTATTGTGTCCAGTGCGCACAGCATGCGCAGCAGAATCCCGTCGGCCTGGCCAGGACGTGCCCTGCCAGACGGCATGGATTTGTCCTGGACAAAATGGGCAAAGAACGCAGGAGTCGGTTTGATCGTGGCCTCCACCCCAGAACGGGAAGGAAGGAGGTAGTCCTAGAGAGCTGGGCTCTCCAGGATCTTGGTTTCCTCACTCAAGGGAGTGAGCATATTGCGTAGTGCACCCCCGCAGCTGGCATATTCGGCGTCCATCGGAGGAGCACAAAATCCTCCTCTTCCTCCTCCTCTTCCTCCTCCTCCTCTTCCTCCTCCTCCTCCTCCTCCTCCTCCTCCTCCTCCTCCTCCTCCTCCCCCCCTCCTCTTCCTCCTCCTCCTCCCTTCTCCTCCTCCTCCCTCCTCCTCCTCCTCCTCCTCCTCCTCCCCCTCCCCCTCCTCCTCCCCTCCCCCTCCTCCCTCCTCCTCCTCCTCCTCCTCCTCCTCCTCCTCCTCCTCCTCCTCCTCTTCCACTTCCTCCCCCCCTCCTCCTCCTCCTCCTCCTCCTCCTCCTCCTCCTCCTCCTCCTCTCCTCCTCCTCTTCCGCCTCCTCCTTCTCCGCATCCTCCTCCGCCTCCGCCTCCTCCTCCGCCTCCTCCTCCTCCTCCGCCTCCTCCGCCGCCGCCTCCGCCTCCGCTTCTGCCTCCAGGTGTCAGGAGGTGCTGGAGAAGCCAGCTACGAGAGCCAATTCGCTCACTCCCCCTTTGCCACTACTCACCTTTCCGTCTGACCCGAAGGACGTGGCCATCCCAGTCGACGGCAAGGGCAAGACCAGGAACCTGAGCAAGGATCGCCATTAAGCAAGCGGGTCCCGAGGGAAGCGGCAGAAGCGCAAGCCGTCGCAGGTCCACGCGGAACTTTCGGATCGGCGCAGGACACCCTTGGCGGCGCATCCTTCGCCGCTGGGAGGGGGGTCCAGAGCCGACTCAAGAAATTCGTACGGTCCTCCGACTGTTTTTGCTTCCGGACTCGAGGGCCCTCCCAGGCCCCCAGTCCGTCTGGGAACGATTCGGGATGAATGTCGGATGAGTCAGTGGGGTCCGGGGTGATTGCACGGTTTTGGGGCTGGAGTCGTTCTTTGAGGACTTCTCGGGCGACCGGAGCCTCGAAGGCCCCAAGACAGTGCGGTAGCGGACCGTGCGGAGAGGTCTTCTTCGGCCAGGGCTAGGACGAGGATGAATTCCAGAACGCCCTCAGAGCGTCCCCGAACGCTCTGAGAAGGCCGCGGCGCCCGAGACATCCTCCATAGCCGCTGGATCTCAGGGATTGTCAATCTATCCTCACCCGATGTTATCCTCGTCCTGGCCTCGTCTTGCTGGGACTTCAGGGTCACCGCACGGTCTGTCGCCAGATTGCCTTTTGGGACTTCCAGGGGTCGGATGCCAAGAGGCTGCACAAGCACAGAGCCAACAATGGCTTGTCGTGCGTTGGCACGCTGCCGCGACCAACAACGGCTTGCCCTGCGTTGGCGCGCTGGCTGCCGGCGCTTCGCGCAGCTCCAGCTGCGATATTCGTTTTCACTATCAGCGCTGCCGAGCTTCAGATTTTGCCTTGCCGAGCGGGCCCTCTTGGGCGCGCGACAGACTTGGACAGGAGGAGGAGGAGGAGGAGGAGGGGGAGGAGGAGGAGGAGGAGTCGTTACTATACGTTCCCTGCCGCCGTCGATGTACATATAATCACACACGCAGACACATAGTTGGCCGTCTGCAGCTATTGTGGTTCGGAGAGTAAAAAGGCCCGCGCCCGCCCCGCCCGCGTGCTCATACTATTATACGTTCCTTACCCTACGCTTAACGGGATACCACATTCCTTTACAGCCCGCGATGTCCGTAGACTCGCTAGCATGGGCCCCAACAGTGAGGACTACCTTACTTGACGATATTGGCCTGGTTGGGCCTAAGTTGGGTAAAGAAGGGTTATCAGCCGAAAACTCTGGGTTATGGACTGTCGACCATGTCGATAAAGTTGGGGCAAGTACGAGCACCTCCGTGAATGTGGAGAAGAACATGGGAGGTGGAACCAGCCCCAAAGAACTGGGAATGTATAAGGAACGACTCGACGGACCAACGAAGTCGACCTCACCACGCATCCGAGAGACAAAAGCGACAATGTTGCAGAAAATCAACTCACCTGAAGGACCACTGTCACTTGCAGAGGAGGACGACAAGGCCATTACGAAGGTGATGAAGAAGAATCCCCTCGCTACGATACGAACTCCGTCCCCGGCGGGTGGGGCATCGGGACGCGACGATACTCCAGTGAAGCGCGGGCGACAAGATACTCCCGTTCCAGAGGACGACCTCGACTAGGACGATGATTGGTACGGGGGAAAGCCCTGCCCGCGCAACCCGCTGTTAGGCGATGTCGAACAGGCCTACGTCGTGAACTCCAGCTCATCTGACGAGGACGACGAGACCGAGCACATCGCTGTGCCGGTGAAGGCAATGCCCATATGGAGCTCGTCGGAGAACAGTCACGAGTCGACCCCTGATCGAACCCCGAAAAAAGCGAGGCACGGATAATATCCGGAAAATGGGGAAGGCACAAAGCACCCGAGACAGTGTCGAACGCCAGAAGGACCTGGCGACCTCATCCGGGGGGTCTGGGATCGAGACTCGACGCGGGGAAACCCTTAAGGGATGACCCAGTGGACGTAAAACAATCCCCGTACGGAAAAGCGCCCTAAGACCGAGCCTGGCGGCCCGAGTGGCCAAAAGGACCCCGAGCCAGTCCCTGATCTTAAACCCCGTGGAAGGCAACTATTCGAGTCACCGGGCTCGATGTCCTGGAGGTCAAGATCGGGAAAGGGCGGTCGCAATCGCAACTCACGGGGATCCTACCGCGGGCCCTCTCTAGCCAGATCGTCAACATCACAATGCACGATAAGGCAGTCATGCACGAACCGCGGACCGGCATGCGAGCCAGGCCCCGAGAGTCGGCACCCAAGCAGAGCGGCTGGTGATCGGCCATTCCAGAAGCCTGTATGCCGAGGGTGTTCCGCCCAGTGCCGCCCGTGCAATTTGGGATATCTTTGCCAGAAATGTATGCCACCAAGGTAACAATTCTTTTGCGTACAAACACCGCGAGTGGGAGCTACAACAGGAAATGGGGCAAAACCAACTTGAGCAAGAGCGCATTTCCGAAATGGCAGCCATGCGCACAATGATGGCAGACATGGAAGCTAGGCAGAGAGCGCAGAACGAGCATATGGCGCAGCAAGCCGAACAAGAGCTTAATGCAATCCATAAAAGGGAGAAGGAACAGAAGGATGCCCTCCATGAGGCTGCGTTGAAGGCAGATTAAGAGGCCAATGAGCAAAAGAGGACAGAACAGGCCATCGCATAACAGGCCCGGCAAGCCCTCCGCGGGGCGCAGGACCGGGGGGCGAAGCTTGAGGAACAGGGTCGAGCGAAGCTCCGAGAAGCAACCATGGCGCAGGAACAATCTGTTTCCGAGGTGGAACAAATCGCAGCCATGTCCATCGCCGAGAGGCGCCAATTGGAACAGAACGCCGTAGAGGCGAAGAGAAAAGCCGATATCCCTTCAGGACGCCCAGGCAAAGCAGCAACTGCTTGAGAACGAGGCCAGGAACGCACGGATGGGGGCCGCCAACGCGCGAGCCGAATTCAGGCGAGTCTCTGACTCAGCTACGGCGGTCAGGGGGGAGGCCTGCGGAGAAGCCAAGGCCTTGATCCGAGTCAGGACGGAAGCCCTCGAAGAGCACGAGGCGGCCGTGCGCCAGGCAACAGAGTTGAAATTATTGCAACGCAACGCTCGAATTGCGGTGGCAACCTCCCGGGCCAGTCATGCCAGCGCTAAAGCAGAGGCAGAAGAAGCAACGCATGCACTGCGGAGAGCCGAGATGCAAGCACAAGCCGAAGTCGAGGAAGCGAAGCAGCGCCTTCACCGAGAAGCCGTTTCGAACGTGCAGAAGTGGGGGGCGCATCGCGAGTTATCTCGCAGAACAGGCCATGCAAATGGTGCAGGATGGGCTACAAGGCATGACGAGCACTGTGAGGAGAGCCGTCTCTGCATCGGCGACACGGGTCCGCCCCGGCGCCGGGGCAATGTCCCAGCGGGGGGATTCGCGATCCAGGCCGGCCACGTCAGATGGGGCCAGATGCTCTGTGTGCAACGTGATCGACGCCCCGCGCGCGTGCGAGAGATGCCCGAGATCGCTTCGTGAACAGCGCTTTGAGTGGGCCACGAAGCGGCGCGCGCAGCGCGAGACAGACCGCGCGCGCGATCTTGAGATAGCACTGAGAGAGCGGCGCGAAGAGGAGGAAGCCATGGCGGAGAAAAGGATGCAAGAAGAGGAAGAAGTCAGTCGGCCCAGAGACGAACTGAGGGCTAAGAAAGAGGCCAGAGCCCTTCGTCGCACCCATGAACTCGAGGATAAAGCAGAGCAGCGCGCGCGCTATGGAAGAAAACCGCGCGCGCGCAGGCCGAGGAAATGCGAGAAAAGGCGGGGGCAATGATGGGGGAATCTGAGATTGCCGCCGCCAGGGCCAAAGACAAAGACAGCCATCAAGTGGAATTGGCCCCCAGCGAAACGCAGAAACAGAGAGAAGAACGGAAAAAGAAAAAACCGAACGGACCGTCGATCAGCGCCTGCCCCGGATGCACTACGCCAGCCCGGCCGAAGAAAACCGCGGCCACTGCGGGGGGCCTCGCAGGGGATGGCGATCAGCCCCTACACCAGGGCAATGCCCATGATGACGGAGACAAGTCGGGGAGAATCAAGGGTGGGTCTGGTTGCCGCCTGGGGGCGGCAACCCAGATGATGGCAGTGGCGACGACGATGACGACGAGGATGATTCCGACGCTGAGGACGACTCCGAGGAGGAGGACTCCGAGGACGAGGATGATGACACTTCCGAGGAAGAAGATGAGGGGGCTGCGAACCGTAGAGTTAGCCGATGCGCTGAAGCTCAGAGAGCAGGGCAAGGCGATCCGGGGGGTGGCGGACCACCGCCCCCAGGACCCCCTGGAGGGGGCGGGGGCCCGGGACTCCCGGACTCCGGCGGCCTGGTGCCCGTGATGACCCCATGGATTGCTGCAGATCGAATTGACCAGATAACGTTAGATCCGCTGCCAGACGCGGGATCCTTCCGAATGTGGAAGAAGTCGGCCATTCGTGCTGCGGCATCGAGTTCGCAGCAAAACCATGTTTTGGCGACGAAATGGGTAGCCGAGGCGTTCGAGCCTAAACAGGTCATAACAAAGGCTCTGAAAGACCCAGGACCGTATTTCGGAAACCTGGACATACGGATAGCTGCAGACCTCATCGCAAATATCAATAAGATTCAAAGGGGTCAAAATTCTTCCCATACCTTAAGGTACCTTGCCAGTGAGGTTGATCTCGCTGACTCAGCCATAATGAAGGCTGGGGGGCTACTTTCAGGAAGATCGATCCTTCGTATCATTCAAACCCATGTCACCACTCGTGAAGACCATGGTCAGGTGTATACCTATGAGGACCTTATGGCCATCCAGATCAAAGGAGAAAGAAAAGAGGCTGATCGGGACTTCTACCACTTCAATGATGAATGGATGAGGGTGGTACTAGAGATGAAGAAACCCCACAAGTCCTTCAGGCCCTCCATACAGAGCCACTTCTACAAGCAGATGAAGAAGTGCCCGTGCATGACAATGACTCTTGCAATGTATGACAACAGCAATGAAAACTACGGAGAGGGCATGAAGTCGCATGAATGGCTGCTGGGGAGGATCGCACGCCAGATGCTGAAGGACCGGGGAGAGGATAATAGAAGGATTCAAAAACAGCAG